TTGGAGGTGTCGATCAGCTTTTTCTTGGTTCTTTGATCAAGATTCAAGGTGCTGACAATAATCGATTGATCAAGTTTGAAGACTGAAGGTAGCAATCAGTTTTCTGGGCATTTTTCTTCATAAAGTAAGTACCTTTTCTTGAGATTGATACTCAAAAGGACTTTGTTATTCATTCAGAGAGGTATGGATAGAAAATCTCAGGACTGATATCAATCCCATGACAGTAGTTGACTATTATCTAACTGCAAAATCATTGTCCTAGGTCAGCTGTTATCAGCCTAGAAATACAGTTTTTCTTGTCACAGTAGTTTAAAGCCTCTTCTTAACTTAGAATGGAGTACAAGAACTAAGGGGAAGGTGCTTTTGGGACTGGTGGTTCAGGTAACATGACTGAAAACACCTTTCAGATTACAACTGTTAAGTTTGATGGATCAAACTACTTGGAATGGGCCCAATCAGCCATGATGGCTATTGGGGGTAGAGGAAAATTGAACTTCTTGCTAGGGGATGTGAAGGAACCCTCCAAGGAGGACCCTACTTATGCTAGGTCGATCCAAGAGAATTTTTTGGTGATGACATGGCTGTGCAAATCTATGCAGCCATACATCAGCCGAAACTACTTGTGGGCCAAAATAGCTAAAGAAATATGGGATGTTATAAAGGAAACATATTCTCAGCCCCTTAATGTTGCTAAGGCCTATGAGCTAAAATGTGAGGTTAAAAATCTGAGGCAAGGAGAGAAGTAGGTCTCTGTTTACTTTTCAACCTCAAAATCCCTGTGGCATGAAATTGGCCATCTTGAAACAATTGAGTGGGAGAGACAGAAAGATGCATAAACATATAGAAAGTAGGTTGAAACTAACAGAGTTTTTGAGTTTTTAGTTGGTCTGAATTCTGAATATGACATTTATCTTTTGGGTGTTTAAAGAGTCTTTTTCCAAACTTGTTTGAGTCAGTAGAAGTGTTTGGGTTAAAATGTGAAAGTTGTGAACTTGCCAAACATAGTAGATCATCTTATCCTTTAAATAATAAAAGAAGCAACCTTCCTTTTGAGATTATGCATAGCGATGTTTGGGGGCCCTACCATACTCCCACCATGGGGGGGTACACATATTTCTTATTATTTGTTGATGACTATACCCGTTTTTCACGGGTCTATCTTATGCACTCTTGAGATGAGGTCCCCTCTCTGACCCAAGCTTTCCATCAGATGATCCTAACTCAATTTGAAACCAAGATCAAGATTCTTAGATCTAATAATGCCAAGGAATACTTTGCAAAACCCTTGGCATCCTATCTCCTTGATCATGGGATCATTCATCAGAGTACCTGTCCTCACACACCTCAGCAAAACAAGGTTGTTGAGAGAAAAAACAGGCATATTTTAGAGGTAGGCAAAAGCATCATGCTTAACTCCAATGTTCCCATACGCTTCTGGGGAGATGCAATCCGTACAGCCATATACCTCATTAATAGGGTTCCTTCACAGGTCCTAAACATGCAAACCCCATTCAGTCTTCTATATCCAGATAAGGACCTATTCACTATTCCCCTCAAAACTTTTGGGTGTACTTGTTTTGTTCAAATCCTTGGACCTCATTGCTCTAAGTTTGATCCCAAAGCCACTAAGTGTATTTTCCTTGGGTATGCACAAAATCAAAAGGGGTATTGCTGTTATGATCCAGTTTCAGGGAAGCGCTTTGTGTCCATGGATGCCACATTCTTTGAGGATATGCCCTACTATCACAAGGCTTCTCCTCAGGGGGAGAATAGTGAGGAAGGGATTTTAGTTTCAGCTCCAAGAGTTCCTTTACCTATCCCGGTTACTGAGGGGGGGAGTTGTGAAGAAGGTTGTCAAAAATGCAGGGAGTTGAGAGTGTATCACAGAAAGTGGTGGAGGCACGTTGATTCTCGTACTGAATAGCAATCCAGGCCAGTTCCAACATCTTCTACAACTCCAGATCTAGACACTACTACTGCTCCCACTGTTGATCCCACTGTTACAGATGTTCAGCCTTCACCAACAGATGACCTTGATCTTCCAATTTCTATTCGTAAAGGGAAGTGTCGTTGCACCTCATCTACTGCCCATTGTATCTCCAAGTTCCTTTCCTATAATTGTCTCTCAGAATCCTACAGATCTTACTTGGCATCTATTTCTGCTATTATTATACCCATAAAAGTGAAAGAAGCTCTTTGATACCTGAACAAAAGGAAGCAATGCAAGTAGAGATGGATGCTCTTGTCAAGAACAACACATGGGAACTAGTTAACCAGCCTGAAGTGAAAAAACCTATTGGATGCAGATGGGTATTTACTGTGAAATATAATGTTGATGGTACTATAGAGAGGTAAAAGGCCAAATTGGTTGTAAAATGATTCACACAAACTTATGGCATAGACTATATAGAAACCTTTGCACCTGTTGGAAAAATGAACACTATCAGAGTTCTTCTATCCATTGCTGCAAACTTCTCATGGCCACTATTTCAGCTGGATGTTAAGAATGCCTTCCTCAACGGAGACTTGCAAGAGGAAGTATGCATGGAGTTACCCCCTGGTTTTTATAGTACAGAAGTAGGAAAGAAAGTTTGCCTTTTGAAGAAGGCCTTGTACGGGCTGAAACAATCCCTGAGAGCTCGGTTTGATAGGTTTAGACTGGCTTTGGACAAATTCGGATGCATACAGGCTCAGTCAGATCACACTCTCTTCTTTAAGAAGACAGGTCATTCCCTGACTCTACTTGCAGTCTATGTAGATGACATTGTGATAACAAGAAGTGACACTAGTGAAATTAAAACCCTTAAACAACACCTTCACAAGGAATTTGAAGTGAAAGACCTAGGAAAGTTACACTATTTCCTAGGAATTGAGGTAACTCGATCTAAGCATGGCATTTTCATCTCCCAAAGGAAGTATGTTCTGGACTTATTGGAAGAAACTGGCAAGTTAGGAGTGAAACCTGCTGATATTCCCATTGAGCCTAACCATAAGATAAGTGCAGAAAGTGGAGAACTCCTTGAGAACAGGGCTATGTACCAAAGGCTGGTTGGGAAACTTCTTTATCTTTGTCTAACCCGATCAAATATTTCTTATGCCGTCAGTGTTGTCAGTCAATACATGCATTCTCCTAGGACCACCCACCTCCTTGCAGTAGAAAGGATCATTTCCTACTTAAAGAGATGTCCAGGGAGAGGTATATTCTTCAAGAATAATGGTCATATGAAAATAGAAGTGTATACAGATGCAAAATGGGCTAGATATGTTGATGATAGGAGGTCCACCTTTGGATATTATGCATTTGTGGAGGGAAATCTTGTTTCCTGGAGAAGCAAGAAAAAAAATGTTGTTGCTCGCTCCAGTGCAGAAGCAGAATATAGATCCATGGCCAATGGTGTTGCAGACAGGACTAAGCATATCGAGGTATTGTGATAATCAAGTTGCAATTAATATTGCCCACAACCCAATATAGCATGACAGGACTAAGAATATCGAGGTTGACAGACATTTTATCCGAGAGCTAGTCGCATCTGAAGAAGTATGCCTTCCTTACATTGCCTCAGACATGCAGTTAGCTGATCTCTTCACCAAAGTAGTCACAAAAAGCAAATTTGAGACAGATTTATGCAAGTTGGGCATGACAAATATCTACTCCAACTTAAGGGGGAGTGAAGAAATAGTTGGTTAGCCACGAGTGTGGGGTTCCATACCCACACTCAGGCTCTAGTGTGTGTGGTTTCATACCCACACCTAGTTGTTTCTAATTTCTTTTATTAGTAGTTTCTAATTTCTTTTATTAGTAGTTTCTAATTTCTTTTATTAGAAGTTTCTAATTTCTTTTAAGTTGGGCCAATTGGCCTTATTGTTTCTAATTTTTGTTTATTTCCTATTCTTGTAAGGAACCTAAAGCTATAAATAAAGAAGTGTATAGGGCGGCAGATCATTAACCACCGAACCCCTTCTTTCTTTTCTCCTCTCTTCACTCTTCTTCTCTCTCTCACTCTCTCACTCTCTCTTTTTCTTCTCTTCGAACCTGTATTACTTCTTTAATACAATAAACAGTTCTTCT